CCTCTAACTACATCCCCGCGCTCAAAATAGTTTGGTTCTAGCAACAGTTATTCACATGCAATCATTTTTGGCCTCTGTCACATCTTTCAATCAGTTTTTTCAGACAGAAAAGGGAAAAAGAGAGGACCACCCACACTCAACCAATCAGCTCTCAGCCCGAAGTGTGCAATAGTGACTCACAGGGCTCGTTCTCACAAGGTTGAGAGAACAATGCCAATCCTTTATTCGTTCTTGCCAGTTATAGAAACAAAAAAACACTGTGCTTTCATTTTTAACAGCAGCTTTTCTTGAATGAGCAGCAGAACTATTGGCCCACTTTAGCTCTCAATCCCTTCTTTAGTTTAGTGTTTTATTGAAGCTATTCAATAAATTCACCAACGTTTGTTTCCATTTGAGCATGATTTCCGTTTTGCGTTTGGATTTTCTTTAGATTTATTCACCGATTGAATTATCTTTGCATTAATTTACCTAGAGTTCTATACAGAAAAAGCTCATATCAAAGACACATTGTTGAATTGTCGATGCACATAGTGTATATATATGATCCACAATAAAAAAATCACTTTTGCAGTTGGCTCTTTTTCCCCCCAATAAAACAAAGTGGCAAGGTCAAAACATCACAAAATGCCTTTTTCAGAGGCAGAATGAGGAGAAAAGAACAATGGAAAGAATTGGATTTTTTTCACAACTAGATGCGGTCGACGCTTGATTAACAAGTCTTCTATGGAAATTTCAGTGGTACTACTTCAATATTTATGTTCATTAGAGCTGCAAGATACAATCAAATTGCATTTCCAATTGTGATTTCCTTTGTGAATAATCAAATATCTCACCATACAGACCTGTTCCATCAGTATTTCTGTTCTCATGTACGTTAAAGTTTCTCTTAAATGATTATCCTCCTTGTAAACCGTGCTGTAAATGTATGTTATAATATGTTTATTATAGAAAAATGGAAATATAGAGTTCTGGAATTGTTTGTATGTAAATTTATCACTTACAAGAGGAATTCACATTTAAGGCAAGGCAAGGCAAGGCAAGTTTATTTATATAGCACAATTCATACACAAGGCAACTCAAAGTGCTGAACAAAACAAGAAAGCTATAAAATCATAAATTATCACAGAACATTAAAAAGAAAGATAAAAATATAAAATCCCTCAGTTGTATGCACAGTTAAACAGAACTGTCTTTAACCTGGTTTTAAACATTGTCAGAGAGGAGGCCTGTCTCACATCTTCAGGAAGACTGTTCCAGATTTTAGCAGCATGAATCTGAAAAGCAGCCTCCCCATGTTTAGGAGGAGGTCTTTTTGCGGACCATACTTAACGAAAGCCATTGTCAATCTGGTGGGTTCTTTCACACCACTGAAGTTTGGCCTTCATTGACTGCGGCTGTACAATCGCTCGGTGTCTGTCTGTGGTCTGTTTATGTCATTATAGTGGAGCTAATAGAGCCACAGCAGCCGCGGGCAAAAATCAAAGCCGTTTTTCAATCTCTGGAGCTAAATAGTACCGTGTGTAAACAAATGCTGGCTAATGCTTGCCCGATAAACTTTCTTCTATTTAATTGAATTGCAATGTGTAAAAGGACCAGCGGCCTCTCGTTCAAGCCTGATTCATTTTAATATGTGTTTGTTAAAGTTTGTTGGTTTGGGACTTTGGTTCATGAATATTGTTTTGCATAGTTTGGTGCTTATTGAAATATGGTACATGTTTGCTCTTGCGTGTTTTAGCTCACACCTCAAATATTTCTCATGGATCAAAAACAGACATGGATAAAGGTGGGATTCAATTCAAATTTACGACAGATTCTTAGTCCTATTTAAAACAAACAGACAAAAAGACAAAAAAAAATAGACAATGGTATTTCACCATATGCAATTCTTGGCAGTTTTTATCCTTCACAGTAGACAATCCCATCTCAGGTCTTTTTTTTTTATATTTAGAGGGCCCAAAACAACAATAATATTTTGACATTGCACTGTTGTCGAAAATGACACAAGATGCGGATCGGTCTGACATGTTTTGTTGTTGATTGTAAAGATGAGACACAAACAGAGTTTTATAGCTTGCATGTGATCTTATATCATGAAGGAATCATAAAGGCTCCAATCAGCCTCTGCCACAGAGCCAGTAGCTTCGGCCTTCAGAAAACCAAAAAATTCAAGTGGAAAATCACTGGCTTATCATATTGATGAGTTGAAATGTATACGCTATGCCATATAACTTTGGCTGGTTCTACCTCTAGTTTTCACATGCATTATTGGCCTCAACCGTCAGTGACTCAAAGGCCTCATTCTTTCAAGTATGCAAAAATAACTTGTTTTCTAATTAGATGATTAAGACGGCCTGTTGTGGTCTGATTTGTTCCTCACTCTTAGATTTTTAGTTTGTGTGTCTGTCTAAACGTGTGTGTTTGTGTCATGAATTTGTGAAGCGTCTTTGAGTTCTTGAAAAGCGCTATATAAAACTGATGTATTATTATTATTATTATTATTACAACATTAGTGCCCATTTCTACAATATCTATTTACTGATCTTAACACCTATTCAATTAACCACTAATCAAACATTAAGATAATTAAGACTTCACCATCTTTGCCCTATGTTTTTTTCCCTTCATAACATCCTGCTCTTTTTTGTCCACATTTTAACTTTCCCTCACTGCACCACTTTCTGCTGCTCCTGCCTCCAAACAGCCAAGCAGTCACGCGGCTCCTATCACATTATAATGAGATTGGGAGCACACCCCAACAGAAAGAAGCCATTTTCTACAGCTGCCAACTTATTATCAAGGAGGTGTGACTCTCTCCTGCCGCTCCAAAAGGCAGTGGAGGAGATGGGGAGGTTTCAGGGGCATCCTTATTTACATTTTGAGTGTTTTCTCCTTACCAGTCTCTTATGCCTTGTGCTGGTTTTGGTTCGGTCACTAGTGCAATCCCAAAGAACCACTTCCACACTTCGTGTTCCTCTTGAATTTTTAAAAAGCAGCGTCCAGGGATTTTCTGGACTTCTCTACCTTCTGAAATTCATTATGTGATGCTTTTGCTGGTTTTGAGTTGTCTCTTGGAGAATCCATCTCTTTGGCATAATTACTGCATCTATTAGTATTTACTCTTTAACTCAATGCAATCAATTCATTGTTATTTGGTCATTTCTGCATATTTTTTTCGTGTTCGGAAAGCTGGCACAAAAGTTCACGCTAGGCACAAACTCAACTTAAGTATGGGTTTCGTGAGAATACTTTTTTGTTAATAATAAAAGTGTGTAGGTAATATTATTTCGTTATCTGGTAACCATCACATACAGAACTTCCTGTAACAAACGTCTCGCTACAAACAATACTCATTTTTGAATGTATGGTTGCGGCATTTATTATGGTCACCCAAATTGTCTTATAATTGCAATAACACTTGAGATATTAAAACATGAAGAGTTCAGCTTCTCAGCCAAATTGTCCGTTGTAGTGCACAAAAATATTATTCTGTCTATTCTCCATCTTCAAATCCACTGATGGCAGTGAAAAGAAAATTACTGTAATTGACATATTTTCAAAATATCTGTGTCTGTAAAAAAAAGATTGTTTTGAAAACTTATTTTTACTTTAACAAGAGAATGTAAATAAACAATGCACAAAAGCCTTTTTTACCACATCGCAGAAAACATAAAAAGACAACGTTAACTGGGTCTCCATCAGGGCGTTCACTCTTGTCTTTTCACTTTCTACTGTTAATAAATTATGTAAAGGGTTGTACGTTAAGAATGGCATCCGTATGCACTGAATCTTACACAGCTTTAAATCATGTAATTCTTTCTATCAGAGTTGCTGCAATCTCCAGCCTAACATATCTCTTCCCCTGATGTTTGTACTGCCACATGAATACAGCAGATATGTCGTTGGGTGGGGTTAAGCTGTGACTCACCACTTATTTGTGTGTGTGTTTTTTTTCTCTCCACAGGCAATCTGGAGGAGCAGTCATCAAGAACAGGTACGATCCACTGTGAAGAGCCAGACAGCAGAACAAAGGCATACGGATGTAACACTGAATCTTAATCCATCTGGCTCGTTAACAGCCCAGAAAACACGGTGCATATATTGTCGTCAGCACTGTACAATGTGTGACAGGCTGCAACTGTATTTCCTGTCACTCAAGTCTGTTCTAATTATCACTTACAGAGGTATACTTCTGAGCTTAGCGGAGTTTCAGCCGTTCTGCATTTTGGTGAGAAGATTGTGGCTTCGTTAGTTGTAGACTTGTTGATAAGACTAGTAAGCTCTAATCAACTCCAAATGCCTTTGATGGTTGATACCTGTGCTGGTGCTACTGGTTCAATGTCTGTGTCAGAAAACAAAAAGTAAATATCTTTCGAAATACCTTTTAAAAGCAGTGCCAGTATTCATCAAAGCCACATCGTGAAAGGACTTGAAATCATAAAACTTATATGCAATATTCCTGATGCCAATCCCTAAAGATGAATACTATCCTTTATGTTTTTGGACCAGTATACTTCATTATAATGGTATAACTAGATTCCTGCCCTTTACAATTGCCACCTTATACTACTTTACTTTGACCTGCACTGTTAAATGTCCATAGTATAAACTTAATACTAATTTTAAGACCTGAATATGAAGATTTTTTTATGCATGCCTTTATATATATTTTTTTATTTTCACAGCTTGTTTGCACCGTGAGCCAAAGCTAATTCCTAGTTTGTGACCTCCTGTTACTTACAATGGCAATAAAGGAATTCTGATTCTGATTCTAATTCTGATTACATTCTGCAGTGACCCTGTAATTACAACTCAAGTAGAAAATCCAACCCCGACCATTAGTGTTTCCTGTACCTTCATACTAAAATAATGTATAATCATAGAAACATACAAAAATACACATTCTCATATGTCAATGTCTTTTCAGTCTTGGTGAGGAGTTTTATAAGGAGGCGATCGAACATTGTCGCAGCTACAATGCCCGCCTGTGTGCTGAGCGTTCCATGCGGCTGCCCTTCCTCGACTCGCAGACGGGAGTGGCCCAGAGCAACTGCTACATCTGGATGGAGAAGAACCACCGCGGGCCAGGTATGGAGCCCTGAGGTGCCCCTATGTGTGCGTGGGTTTATCCAGTCACATCTGCTCAGACAGGCCGTTAGTGGGACCAGGTTTTTCTTATTTGGAACCACCACCTTGCACTATTTATTTATTTGTTTGATGCTTTGGGGTGTGTATAGGCTATAGGATAAATGAAGGATTAAAAATAGTAAAGCATGGATAAAGATATTCAGCAAACTGGCAAGATTAGGATTTATCTTTGTGGCTTAACCTAATGTTAAACAGTCCAGCAACATGGTTAAAATCGAGTAATCTTTACACATATATTTTGAAGCTCTTTTCAGTTCTTTGTCTGGGTCTGTTATCTATAATGTCCTGGGACTTCATTTGCGTAGAATTTTTTTTACAAACTTCATACCTTCTCCACCTTCCACACTTCCCAGATTTCATTTATTTTAATTTTCCTTTAATAAATCTAACATTTAAAGTCAAATATTGTAAAAAATGCACACGTAAAATATTTTTACGTGTGCATGCTTTATATAGAGACTTTGATACGGCGCAAAAAATAAAGGGAAGTGAAATTATGCCCAGAAAGGAGCAAGTTCTAATGTTGTCTAGTGGCCTTTGTTAACCAAGTTGATTTTTGTGGTTCTCTCAAGTTTCATAACCTCTATTTACTCCTATTCCTATAGATATGCATTCAACTATAGTTACTGCAGCTGTATTGTCTGTCTGTCGGCTGTCACCATAATGTACATCAAACCCAGTGTGTGTGTGTGTGTGTGTGTGTGTGTGTGTGTGTCCAAGATGCTTACCTGCTGTGTGGTATGTGGAGGGAAAAGGAGCCTGCATCACTGGAGTGAAGAGGGGGAGAGGAGGAGACAGCTGTTGTGGCTTCAAATACAGTTATTCAAAGTGTATCAAGGCATCAAAATCTGTACTCAACCACAAAGGATTTAACAGCCTAAAATCACTCTTATTGATAATGAAAATTTCTCCACTGTGAGACTAATAAAGGTTTATCTTATCTTATCTTAAGACATTTCTGAAGATTTTATTCTCTGAAGCATCATTATAATGCGGTAGATTGGTATGGTGCTCCAACTAAAGGTGGAGTGTGAGATTCCCATTTGTCATTTGTGTGTTACTGGTCGAAATTTTACGTAAATATTTTTTTTCACAGGAGTTAAGTTTTTATGCTGTCCTCTTTTGCACTGTTTTTGTCTCCAGGTCACGCTCCAGGTCAGTTGTATACATATCCCGCTCGCTGTTGGCGCAAGAAGAGGCGGTTAAACATCTTGGAGGATCCTCGACTCGTACCCATTGAGTTCAAAATTGGTGAGAGGAAAATTCAAAACGTAAACAATACACATGGATTCAATAGTGCTTCCTTTGCAATCCAATCCGACTTTTTCAAAGAGCTACACACAATATACTGTACATTTGGCCAATCATGGACACTACATACAGGGAGTAAATGGCATTGTTTATTTTGAATATATGGATTAGAATTTATGTAAACTTGGACATGTGGATCAAAGTGAATAAACTTTCCTAAACTATGTAAAAAACACAATATTAACTTTTTGTTGAGAGAAACAGCAATCACATGGACACAATGATCAGATGATTAGATGAAATAATCCATGCACCATGAAATAAACATGTTTTCATACATTCATCCTGTTTGTCCCACAGAAGTGTCTTGTTCAACTGTTTGAGAGTTGATTGGTTGAGTCAAAGCTGGTGCCAAAATACATGCACATGAAAACTAGAGATATAACCAACTGTTTTGAGAATGAGGTCCTCCAGCTTTAACGTCCCAGTTGCATCTATTTAACTCTTTGTAGTAGACTCGGACCATAGTGGCCTCCTCAGTTTGGGCTGGAAAAAAGAACCTAATTGGATTAAGTATCTTTCCATATTCACTGTATGTATTAATCTATTTTTTTTTGTCCCATCTCAGATTACGAGGCATCTCTGAAGAAGGAGGGGGGTCTCCCAGATGGCCCCGTGCTGGAGTCTCTGCTGTCGGGAGAAGCCCTCGACAAAAAGGTGGAGACGAAAGAGGAGGAGTCCATGAGCGAGTGCCAGGTTCACATTTGGTCCTTTCTCTGATCATTCGCATCATTCGTTATTATTTAGAGTGATTACAGTATTTTAGTTAATTTTCACTTTTAGTATTCAATCATTTTAGTTGTGGGTTATTATTCTCTCAATGGAAATCTATTTTGCAAATTCAAGTTTTATCAGACGTTTTTGACAATGTGTAGGAACTATACATTTTTCTCAATTTTTTTTCTCTATATTTGTAAAATGTAATATAATGTTTTTAATCTCCTTTATTACACGGAAGACTCAGTTTCTTTGTGTCTGTCTATGTGTCTGTTGGAATGAGTTTTTGGCTGCAACATCAGCTCCTGCTGCTCTCAAATCTCCTCCTGGCGTTAGGTCCGATGTGACTGCACAGACTGACAGATCGTCCAAGGATTATTATTTCATTTGACAAAAAAGGAGAAAATAAACTTGCTTAGGCCTTTGACTAATATGATGGCTTTGCACAATGCTGTATGTTATCTATAGTTGTGTGGCAGAAGAGGTCCAGTGAAGCTTACTACACCTCAATATATAGATCTGCACTTATGTGGAGGACAATGGAGCAATGACCTTTGTTATAGTCATAGTGTTTTAGTAGTGTCAAAATCATTATAGTTTTATTATTTAGAAATGTATAAACGTTGCAAGTAATACTACGTTAACTTGGGCTCAGCCTCTCCTGTTAATTAGTATATAACAAGTTATAAAGTCCGTTTACAGATACTACCATTTATAAACAATTAACTGACTATAGTATTAGAACTGGGGAACAAAACAAAAAAAAGTTGAAATCCACCCATTAGCTAAAATCTAGTGAGAAACCCTATACATTTGGCACACGTGATTTACTTTTTGTTGATTTCAATAAGAAAATACAAGAACAATTTGCATTTGTTGTGTGTTTGTGGCAAATCTCCTGGCGTTAGGCTATTTATATTAATTTAAAACACACATGACATTTGATGGTGAAAAAAATAATAATAATAATGCATCGGTTTTATATAGCGCTTTTCTGGACACTCAAAGACGCTTCACATGTGTCATTATTCATTCACTCCATACACGGTGGTGATAAACTACTACAGTAGCCACAGCTGCCCTGGGGCACACTGACAGAAGCGAGGCAACCAGTATGCGCCATCGGCCCCTCCGACCACCACCAACCATTCACACACACACCAGACTCATTCTAGGCAATGGGGGTGAAGTGTCTTGCCTAAGGACACAACGGCAGTTTGGCACTTTACAGCCGCAGCCGCCCCACTGTGGCTGGTGTTCCCAGAGGTTAAGTGTCTTGCCAAGGACACAACGACAGTAGACAGTGGGAGTCGATGGTGAAAGTCTTGAGCGGGGCTTGAACCCACGACCTTCTGGCTCAAAGGCCAAAGCTCTACCAACTGAGCTACTGCCGCCCTAGAAAAAAGGTCTAATGAATTGGTAATCGCCAGAGCACGTACAGTATATATCTATTCAAATATAATCAGCAGTTATTGTAAATCAAGTTAGTTTTTTGGGTGAAATCTCTTGGCTCTACAGTATACATGCCACAGATGTACTGTATTTCCTTCCTCGTGGTTTCAGCATCGAAGCCCCTCTTGTTCCTCGCGGTCTCACTTGTGGGCCGTTAGAATAAACCCGACCCCACCTTACTCTTCGCCCTGTGCTGCACATCTTGAACTTGGACGGACAGTTAATCAATCACAAGTGAACGGCTCCAGCGCACAGAGAGGCCCGAGCAGTTTTTAAAGTCAATAGAGCAGAATACTCTGCAGTAAAACACCACTCACTACATCCAGGACAAAACCACCGGTAATGAATTTTAGATCTCGGCCCAAAGACGCACAGGTGCACAATACGGGTACTCTGCTGTCTATGTCTGAGAAGAACTGAACGAAGGAATCACCATTGGAGATGATGCTTTGCCCAAAACTATGAGAAAGACTATAGGAAAGAAGGACATTGCAATTGTCCTTGTGAAAACACACACTTTGTATTCCGTAATATAAGAGGGAAATATCTTTTGGAGTGAAGCAGGTGGCAAACTGTAAAACCATAAAGACATCTCCAAAACACAACTTCAGTTCAGTTTTGTTGATGTTGATGGAGAACAATATGGAACATAGACACATTTTTTCTTGCTAGCTTTTAGTTAGTGAAATGGTCTGAGCTAAGGCTAAATTTAATAATAGGTTGTTTGCATTCTTTTCAGGTGTCTAATGTTGAAACCACAAAAAAACGTTAATGATGAAATACATCTAACAATCTCTCAGTTTCCTTCCATCACTAGTTTTCACATGCATTTTACATGACTTATTATAATTTTTCTTTTACTTCTGTCTCATCATAAATCAGCTTTTCCAGAGAGAAAAGTAAATAACCTCACAGAGCCTATCAGCTCAAAGCATCAAATAGAGACTCCTTTTGCATGTATGAAATAGACAACATATTTTCTAGGCAGTATATTGTGGTATGATTTGTTCTAAAAAATATATATTTTACAAGATTTTTTTTTCTTTTAGAACAAACAACATCTACTATTTGTGTAGGAAAAGGTTAGGTACCCCAGCTTTAATCTACTGATTGTTATACTTAATGATTTTTATCAGGGAAAAATGCAATTATGTTAATAATTATGAATACAACAACAATGTTTTTTTTTAAACAATGACCATATATAAGCAATATGAAAATGTGTTTTAATCACACAATGTAATAAATATCACTCAGGTATTTTATTTTCAACAAACTTTTTATTTCAACAATCATTTCAGCATTTTTTTTTTCCAGGTTGTATTTATTTTAGTGATTGTTCATTTGATTAATGACAGATGTTGCATTCACTGTATCACAACCAAAAAGGATTGGGCTAACACACATTAGCTACTCATCTATCCCACTGGGTTTTTTAAGAGTTTTTCCTTGTCGATGCAGGAGGGTCTTGTTGGACAGTTAGTGTCCAACAGAAAGGATTGGTGATGATCAGGACACTTTAGCATTCTACAACATGTATGGACATTTTCTTCTGTGTGTGCTTTATATTCTTCATGTGTTTTAACTGTTGATTCTCTGACCTGTGTTGGTGATTTCAATGGTTTTGTTAAGTCCTCTGAGATGACTTCTGTTGTGACCTAGGGCTATACAAGAATAAATTGTATTGTATTGTATTGTGTACTCTGTCTTGAGACCAGTATAATAATGTTTCCAAACCAGACAACATGTAGATGTTAGAAGTTACAACCTCAGAGTGAGCTCCAAGATAAACATGTTTAAAGCTGAATCGTGCAGTTGCTGTAATTGAGAGTCTTGTACCTGGTGTCTCCTGTAGCAGCAGCAGCTCGCGGCCCGCTGCGTCTGGTCCGGCAGGTGGTCCACAAAACCCTCGCTTTCCAGGGACGTTCTTAATCTGGCCACTTTAAGAGCAGACACATCCCCACTCAAAATAGCTCCACACCCCATCACTATTGCACAAAAGCAAATCAGCCTGACACCACCCCTTTAATGCCACACCATATCAATTCATTATTTTTCTTACTGATTTGCTTCCACCTATTTAACCACCAGTGTGATAAGCCGAGTACCATGAGTGAAGCTCTTATCATCAAAGTTTGGGCTTTTGCATGTGCAGCTCTTTCCTTAATAAAGTTGTCCTTGTAAAAAGTATGCCAGACAATCTTTATTATGCCCCACATAGATGATAAACTTGTCCTAGTCCATTATTTTTGCAATATTCCAGGGGCTTAGAGCGTACTGCTGTGACTGTAGAGGACTTGCTGTATATGTTTTGACTCTTTATTTGGGCACGTTCCTGTCTTCCTTATTGTGAGAATCCAGTTCAGGTTAAAACAATATGCCTCCATTTCCCACTTGTGTTTCCTTGTGGGTCAAAAAACAGGTGTGCAGTGTATAAATGCCCAAAGTGTCCATTGGTCATTGCAGAAGATAGGAGGCAGAAATCTGAAACCCCAAAAAGTATAACAGTAGTAACATTTAGATCGTCTCATCTCATATTTACACTTTTATAATTTTATGTTTAAGCTAAATTGGGAAACCTGCAAATAAGTGATCTACTGCCTGCCTTAAAAAAAGTCCTTCATCCTAAAACTGAGTGCCAGAACTATTACAAAAGCAATATTTCTGGTTTACAGCATAGACAGCCTTAGTTATAATCATATGGTCTAAAATCTAAATAGATCCCTGTTGTTGGTGATGCTTCAAAGACAGAGTTTGGTGTCATCTTTGAAGTAGCGCCTGAGCTCTTGTTTTCTGGCTGCAGATTCTCCTTCATTTATTTTGCCGTTGTTTTGTCTTGCAGAAGCTGCTGGTCGGAGATTTCCCTCACGAGTTGGAGACAGACGAACTGGAGGAAGACGTCCCAAAGCGAAAGAACCGCACCAAAGCACGAGTAAGACAGCTGTGGCCTTTACCTATGCAACGCTTGCTCATTTTGACCTTTCTGAAATCGCTGAGAGTTGTCCACTCTTATTTTTGTTATTGATCTTTTTTCATGCATTTTATTTTATTCAAAAAAGAGGCTTTTTGGTTTAGCTGTAGAAGTGTAGTGAAAGTTTTCTACAGACCAAAGCAATTTTACAGAAACAGAAAATATTCTTAGAAATAACATAAAATATGATCATTATCTTTGTTGCTGGAGGCCGGCTGACATTTAGTGCTTTAAGAGTTAGAAAAATTAATTAAAAAGAGGATAATCTGATTGGATTTCAAAGTTGACATGTGCAAAATCATTATAGTTTTCCTGTCTTACTTAACAGCACAAAATTGTTTTCAGAATCATTCACGTTTGAGTAATTGAACAAATTTACTTTGTCTGTGACGCACATTTGATTTGAAAGCATGTGGCGTGTAAGAAAGGATAGATTTGAATAAAACCAAAACAGTTTCTCAATGTCAACTTTATTTGTAAGTGCTTCACACAAACAAAAGAAAAGAAAAGAAAAAGCAGCATGAGAAACACACAAATATTTGTGGAATATAAAACACATAAAACTTAGTTGGTGTTTAAAGCCAAAGCAAATGTTCTGAACTCAATATGCAAAGTATGGATCAGTCCTGGACTGTGCTGCAGCATCTGGTCGCTTTTTATCACATTGTATATTTGAGTTTTTCCTCGCTGATGCAGGAGGGTCTGAGGACTGTGGTTACTTTACATTTTCGGGCATTGGTCATCCTATTTGTTTTTCGTATTCTGTTCCCTGTGTTCTAATAGCTAGATTCTCTAATCTATTCTTGCCAAATTTACCTTTTTATTAAAGTCCCCCAATAGTTTGGCTGTTGTAGTTAATGGGCATAAATCTTTTGCCTATTTAAAGTTAAAGTATTATTATTATTATTATTTTCCATAATCTGTGTGTTTGTCTTGGAATGTGTATGTAATTACAAGCCAAGACAAATATCTGTCAGCACTACGAATGATGGCTATAATCCGGTGTGATTTGTGCATTAACATGTACTGTCCCAACCAAATAAACAATAAAATAAAATAAAGAAAAACAATAAATGATGCAGGACAAAATTCTGTTCTATTCAATTCCAAAAAGAGAAAGAAGCGAGATTATATTGATAGGATTTGAGCTTGAATGGCAGTAATTCCTCACAAAATGTAAACAAGATATCTTTACTTTTCCTTATTTCAAAGGTGCAAAAACAACCCTTGCAATCACACATTATAATGACTCATTCCTCTACTCATCATTCTAATCAGATCTTAAATTATGCCAACACTACTTCACTTTTTTTTTGATAACTTTGATTAACTCATGCCGCTTCATTCTTCACTTTAGCGTCCTACGGGAGGATAATCTGGTGTTAGCAGTTATTCTGGCAGCGCACACACAGACAGTGGCGTTGCTAATTGTGGCAGTGGCTCCCCTGCTAAGTGTCATCAGCCCCCCCCAGCTCCAGGGCTCCTGATTAGCATGTAGCAGCGAGAGGAACGTAAACAACACGTTTGTCTCAGCGCATCTTGACAGAAGTTGAGAAAACATTAAACTTTATGTGTCTGATGAGACAGAGGGAGATGGGATCCTAATGAGAAAAGATGAAAATTATTTATTTGACAACTTTACCAAATGAGTTCTGAATAAATTATTGTATTGTCCATGGAACAATATATAAACATGTTTACTGTAATTCACCAGCAATTGTTTAAATATAAAAGGCAGTGCATTTTAAGACTAAACTGCTCTGAGACTGGTGCAGGGTAGGAAGAAGGTTGCTGGTTTGGCTCCCAGTTTTTTGTTTTTTTATTTTTTACTTTATTGCCAAAAGTTCAACTAACAGGACGTTTACATTAAAACAAACAAAAAATTATTGAGATTGGGCTCATTCATTAATAAATGTACTGCAGGAAAAACATACATACACACAGCACAAGTATTAAGAGGCTGAGATCAAGAAATAGTATAACTATATAATATTGCTGATGCCAGCGGATTCATTGAATGGGGTTTGGGTGTTTCTTGCCGTGTTTCCTTTCCCTCAGCCCAATACATGCACCATAGGAAAACCCTCCAGCTTATTCTATTTTCTACTTTTGACTTGTTTGCACCGAGAGTCAAAGCAATTTCCTAGTCTGTGACTTCCTGTTACTAACATAGCAATAACAAATATTCTGATTCTGATTCTAAACTGGTCCTGACCAGACCAAGCAGCTGCATCTGGAGATGGGTTCCTGGTCTCCTCACTGTAAGCTGCTGGTTGATCGCAATCATTCGTGTTTCATCCAACATGAAAAGTACACAGATTTTTATTAATAAACAAACAAGTACATTTTTGAACAAATAATGTAATACAAAGTATTTTTTCCTGCATACAACATGTGAATGAGGAGTTCATTATTTTTCCAACAGTGATTGATAGATAAATGCATCGTAAATCAAACCAAATCTTGCTATTCTTAAAACAGATGAGGTATATAATAACCTCTGGATGTTTCAGTAAAAATCCTCTTCAGTATAATTTGATTTTCTTTAGACATTTGCTGATCTGTGTCTTTCAGGCCTACGGCGTCGGAGGAATGAGAAAGAGACAAGAGCCATCCGCCATCGAGGACAGAGACAAGCCTTACGTCTGCGACAGTGAGACACTTTTCCATTACATCAAAAGAATAATGTTCCTCCAACTATAACATCCCAAACTTTGCGGAGTAGTTTGTTGAAAATTTAAAAATGAGTGAAAATACACACTCATTGACTCATTACATAAAAAAGGAAAAGTGCTGTAGGATTTATAAATAATACTTGGACAATGAATATATAATTCCTTGCCTTTCTCAGCATCACTCCTAGTCTGATTGTCGTTTCATGTCACCGTACGGTCTGATAACAAACCTGAGTAAATCCCCTTTTCCATCAAGCTGAAGCTAATGCTGGTTATGGGCCATTTCTCCAGTGCAGAATCGTCCCTGAACCACCCAGAACCAGAAGGGGCAGAAGGGGGATACAAAGTGTGCTATACAAATAAAGCTGACATTGACATTTATGTGATTTTATTGTAAAGCACTTTGGTCTCCTGTTGTAAAGGGCTCTATAAATAAAATGTATTGATTGATGAGTGATTGACCAGCGCATAACAAAGGGACTCTCGGAAATCTTGGTATTTAGTTCCGCAGAAAGCTAACCTGGAAGCCTAACACAAAACTTAACATTAGCAACAGTTAATTTGGTTATCTTAAACATAAAATCTCTTAAAAACAAATTCAAATGAAAAAATAGCAACAAAATATGAATATTTACCTCTGCCCGGGACGAAACACTAAGATTTGATTGAGTCCCGTAAACACTCGAAGTGATCTCGTGAACGCTTGAATTGGCTTAAACAGGATAATTTTTTTGTTTCATAGTCTGTGGAAAGCGCTACAAGAACCGCCCGGGGCTGAGTTACCACTACACTCACACGCACCTGGCGGACGAGGAGGGCGAGGAGGAGTCCGAGAGACACACACTCCCCTTTCAGCGCAAGAACAACCACAAACGTGAGTCCCAATTCCGCCATCACGGCTCTCACTGCCTCCTTTCATATGGTCTTTGTGAAGGAAGTGGGAGTTCACCTCACGATAAGTCGAATCACGTAAAAGCAGAGAGTTTAGAGGAAATGTGTTGATGGCATGCTAGTTGTTTTTGGCTTTACCGTAATGGCAAATATTCTCACTTGGCTCTGGAAGGCTAAGCTGTGCAAAGTGCTTGTAAAGTCATTGTGGTGAAGAAATTGGGAAATTAGTAAAGTGTGGAACAAGTTTGAGCAGTTTTTTCCAAGTTTTGCAGGACAAAGAAATGTAAAGTATAGGTTTTGTACAAATGCAGCCTTTTTAAAGTTTCGGCATGATTTTTTTAATACTTGCACACTTTAGTCTGCTTTCATTTATAAGCTATAAACGTACTATACCGACCCATTTGAAGACTTTTTCTCCTGATTAAGTCAATTTAAAGCTTTCCTCGCAGAGTCTTTACCCAGATTACGCTCAGCTAATTGCAAAATAAATAGTTTTGGTGTGATCGATCCGTGCAGGGCTGGTGCAGTCATCCTTTACAATCAGAATATTATTGAGACTCATTGATCGTTTTGTGGGACTTCTACACTGCAACGCTGAGGACTGGGTTTAGTGCTGATGGAGCTGAATCTAAATGTGCTCTCGTCGTGTGGATAGGACGTCCCAGCGGAGGAGAGGGGTTTTAGCTGATTTCTTCACTTTTTCTGTCTTTCCTTTTTCAAACTCATGTTGCGATGCAGGTGAAAACTCGAGCTAATTTCACTGTGGAACCCCTTTTTCTTGGGCAAAACCGATGGAAAAAAGTGGCTTGGGATTTTAGGTATCAAAAAGGTTGAGATGATCTTTTCAAGATTGTGTGGAGTCACGGTTTGGTAAAGCTTTTTGTCTGTAAGGTCCTGACATTTTTTATCTGCTGGAGGGTTTGTTTAGAAGCACAAACCAATTAGTTGTTCCTCCCTGATTCATGTATTTCAAGTATTATACGTAAATGCACGCAAGGTCAAACATATATCACATTTTAAGAACTTACTTTTGCCCCATTCTTTGTTGTAAAGCAAGTAATCTGTCACTAAATTATTACTCCTCATTTTTTCATTCAATTTGAAAAACCCTAAAAACAAATGGTTCTATTCTATTGTAATAATTGACAGTGTATATGGTTCTTATGTGACTTCATCTAATTACTGAGGTATAATATATGCACATTTTCCAGTCGTTTCCAGAGTGATCCCTTTGTATTTCATATTCTAAAAGTTTTCTTACCTCTAAGGTGCCACACTACCGCATTCAATCTGTATGCTATATGCTATGTTACAGGTCATATCTGGGGCAAGTCTGCTCACTGTAAGAATTGTTGTTCAGGGTAGTAAAAAACACCTCTAATTGTATATCACAGGTTTAATTTCACAATGAGGTTAAAGCTAGAGTATCTAAAATGTTGTGAAAAAGTCAGACCACAACATGCTGTCTCCTGTGAGTCACTATGTTACACTTTTCTGTCTTAAAAAGCTGATTTAAAGATGTCTCAAAGGCCTAAAATACATGCATTTTAGTGGTAGAACCACACTTTTAGAACCTGAAACCACCATAAATCACATGGATTTAATTTTACATTGTTAATATTGCTGTGGGTTGAATGTTAGGTTTCTTGGCTTTTATTCCAAGCAAAGCAAAAACCCCTCCAAGTGCACTTAGCTTGAAAAAGTCAACACAACCAAATTCATTTACAGGTAAAAATATGTGGTGAGATTTTGTATCTTCATAAACATGTGACCAGCCTCCTGCAGTGTATATTTCCCTGTCCTGGTTTCTCTTCCCCCCATGTCACCTCTTGTCATCTGGTCTCACTGGGATCCTTCTCAACTATTGTAGTGTTATTTGCACCACCCGCTCTGTCCCTCATGTGACAAGTCAAAACGTCTGCAGCAGTGAGCAGACTTCTCTTCTGAATGTAATTTACTTTTGCTGCATCGTAGTGGCTTTCTCCTGGCGCTGCGTCACTCCCAGTGGGGCGTTTGGCTTTTATAGAATAAGATAAACCGCTGGAAGTGGCAGAGTTATTGAGTATTGGCAGACTTCCTGAAGCTGTGAAGAGGAGTAGTGCTAAATCTTTGGGGGATTTGACTGTACAAGCGTTTATTTAGTGAGGAGCTGCTCTGTCAAATTATCACTTGTGTTTGTGAAGTGTTTCTTTGTGTTTAAAACCAGTCCTGTCTCTTGATCCTGCCAGTAGTCTTTCAAAATATCATAGTGACAAAAGAAGTTTTTCATAATGTACTGCAAAATCCAGGAAATTTTTTTGCTTCAAAGGTCCGTGCATGTTTGAGTAAACTCCTTCTCAAACCATTGCTCCTAGAATTTTTTTACCCACACTATTGAATTCCCACAGTACATAATTAAAGCTGGGGTACCGGAATTTGTTTCATACATAACATGAGTCTTGCTAAAGTAAAATGTGAACAAATCAGACCACAACATGATGTCTTCACCTTTACATCTGTTTGCATAAAAGTACATGAAGGAAAAATACATGCATGTGACATCTAGGAATAGAAATGTATTTGCTCATTCAGGTGGGTGCGACTCCCTGGTGGCACGGGGCTTTTCTGCGTGGAGTTTGCATATTCTCCCTGTGTCTGCGTAATCTCAGTGGGACTCTCCTATAGTATTATAATAATCTGCTTGTATGTCAGACTTGGTCCCTTAAGAATTGTCATTTTCAACATGCAGTAGATCTGTTTATATTACTATATTGATACAGAGCAAGTTAATAGATTATGACAATTAATGTATTAGTTTAAAATGTATACAAAACAGAAAGCATTCCCAGATTGAAAAGGGGTTTGAGAACAGCCGACGTTTATTTGGCTCCCACACTTCTCACTCAATCTCCTTCTATTACATGCCTCTGCTTCTTGTTTGAATAGCCTTTTATACCGAATCAGTCCTGAACATGTCTTCACACTGAGCAGACAAGAGCAAATTATTCTTATAAAAGGTTTTTATCAAGCTGTTCTTGTTAAGTTAACATCATTTTGAATGGTTTTGTCTTTGTTAAGAGTTAGTTTAGTGCTGGGCAATCTGGAGGATTGACTTATCTCAATTTCTGATTAGATTTTTTACTTAAAAAAAAATAAAACAAGATTGCTGATATGACAAACTCTCCCATCAAGTGAGCACATAATTTTACAGCCATTCCTGCTGTGACTACCACATGATGGGTGTCTTTTGATTATAATTCAAGTGTCTATAATCACAAACTACCAAAATTGAGATTGCGATCGCTCGATGTTTCATTTTTTGGCATAGTCCCTGGTTTAAAAATGATACATCCTGATCTGCTCTTTTCTCTCTCTGTGGTTATTTTTACCTCCTGAGCTGCAGATCTCTACATGTGTCTTTGTGTCTTGTCATTTGAGCATTTATGTGAAGGACAATGGCGGTCGGTCTATGCACCAGTGTGATGGTGGGACACTGTGTTTTGGTCAGAATAAAAGGCTCGTTCATGACGCAAAAACAACAAAAGAGAAATAGCTCTCAAGTTTTGAAATGCCAGAGTAGACAATCCATCCACTCGCTTTGTTCCTTTGGGCTAAAAAAAAAACAAACAAAGTAAGCAATTTGTAGTGAAGGGGAAAAAATGGCAAAATTGCTCTGATCTCTCTCTGGTTTTGATCTACAGCTTTGAACCCTGCAGAATATATATTTCAAGTACATGTAATTATAAGATTTGTCATTTCCATTTGTAAGCAATATTTATCTATCAATATAGTAAGACTCAATGTGTGAATTAATAAATAATAAACACAAGAACACAACAAAATGTACACCAAATGTTAGCCGCCAATGCTACCACATATATATTGGTTGTGTATATTTTTTGAAAAGCTGATGTCTATTAACTGCATTTGCTGATAATTATATTACTAGAAATGCCTGAATGTCTAATTTTTTACCTTAAAGAGACTGTTTTTTTGGTTATGTCTGGGTGCAGATGTTAATGTTAGAAATCTTGTCCAAGAAACCAAGTAGTACAATGCTGACGCGTCAAACTCCTGTTAATTTGACTTATAGAATAAATAATATACCTTCACTGCTGTGTTAGAATTTGATTAATTTTGACTATTTTAAGAGATATCAGATACAGGCAAGTTCAGTTGGCATTTCAACCGCTCATTCCCTCCACAAAAGGGTGTGTCCACAGTGGAAAAGGAAAAAGAACAATCAAAGCTGTCACTCAGCACTGCATGGCTCTTCTCTCGGTTCCAACTAAAGCCAATGTAATATGATTAAATCAACAGTTTGATATTACAAGCGACATTAGGATAGAAAATATAACAGCATATACAAGTTTAAACAGCCAGTCTTTATGAATAGCATTCCCTAGTTGAGTGCGCAGTCTATACCGCGGACAAAAGCAGTTGTGAGTTAATTAGAATGTGTTTTAAATTGGCTTGTCTAACCAAACAGACCAGTTCAATATGTGCTGCAGAAAGGAAGGGGCGACTTTCGAATCGTTTAATATCCCCCTCTGCCTCAGCCCTCCCCAAACCCCCAGTAATCGCACACACCAGAAAAAAAATGCAATCTTCTCTGCACAAATGAAAAAGCAGCCTTGGCTCTTTTTGGTCTGTGTGAGTCCATGTGCATGTGGGAGATGAGAGGCACTTCTTCTCCCTATAGCGCCACATATGTAATAATATTAATATGGGTCCCTCAATTGAGAGCAGGCCAGCATACATAATTCATTATATATCGTAGATTCTGGCTTAGGAGCAGTCTAGACAAAATACAGTAACCACGCAAAGGTTGTGGTTTACAACTGGTTTAGACTCTGTTAAAATGTCCTGAAATTCAGTTTCATTTGTAATTGTAAATTATTAAATCCTACTTCATCACATTCCCTAAATCCTAATTATTTACTGTGGTGTGTTTATGAGAGCTTTTCACATATTCTGGAAACCAGAGCACGGCTTGACCAACAAATATGCTGCATTACCAGAGAATATCTGGTTCTCTGGAATATTTTTCTGGAAAGATTTCCATACAAAATGTAGTGTTATCTCCTTCTTAACAAAGCTGCCCGAATTGTATTGAGCTGCACAACAGTTTAGCCTGGCTCACTGTAAAAAGCAGAACACAGTATTATTTATTAACGTTTATCAGGAATGTTTTAGTGTCACACAATCCTGAAACAATATATAATAAATTGAGACTGTTTTCAAATTCTCATGATCATGCCACACGGCAAATTAGTGATTTAAGGTATATAATATTTTCTATTTGAGTTGGACTGAAGCCACTGGAGAAAGTTCCTTTGTTATTATTATTATTATTTTTATTATTATTATTTTTTTTCATGGTTGTAAATGATTTCTCACTGAGCTGTCATATCGTCGTGTGTGTGCGTGTGTGAGTGTGTGTGTGATTTATGTATAAAAATATGTAAAAGCATGTAATGATTTTGAGGAGACCCCAGGAAGCTTAATGAAAGAAAGGACAAGACTGCAGATACAAAACAGTCGAAATGAGTTTCCTTCCCTGTGACAGAGCTCTCCTCCAGAGATAGGGTGAGGAGCTCGGTGTAGAGCCACTGTTCATCTACATGGAGAGCAGCCAGTGGCTCAGGCAACTGTTTTGGATGGTGGTGCATGTCCCACTGGGAGAAGGCCCCAAGGAAGACCCAGCATAGACTAGTCTCTCTGCTGGTCTGTGAACCCTTTGGGATTCCCTCGGATGAACTAGAGGAAGTGTGTGTGGAAGGGGGAGAAAAAGTATTGTATTCTTAATTTTTGTTCCTATTCTACATATGCTACGGTTCTAAAGAATTCAATCCTTTTTGAAAACCCAAATTTTGATGTGGTTATTGTTATTAACCTAATGTGCCACATTATTATTTAAAATGTGCACTGTCATTCATAATGATGGCTATGGCAGTGTCACTTGTTACTTTTGGTTTGTCTATTATTAACTATAATTCTTGAAAGTACAAAGTAGCGTGGCATGGCTACGTTTTATAGCAGCAATGTTTTCCTCTGACTTTGTGGTAACCAGTAAGTATTAAAACAATTACAACTGTTGATGATAACAAACAATATCAATCAAGTCTTAGACCATCATAAAAAATAATAACTTGAGTCTGAAAAATATCCCAATAACTCTGGAAGAACATTTAGATGTAGTTTCAGAGGAACTTAACAGTGTATATATTCCCAACACTCCCATTACACAGCATCCTTTGGAAACCATAAACCAAACCTCCATACAGTGTGTTCTGGAGCTCTCTCTGCTCCAGCACTATGGCGGTGCTGTGTTTTTCCATTAGTTTGATAAATGACAGATTATTCCACCTGGAGATGAGATTTTCTCTGTCTCCTCCTCAGGCCGTGCATCCTCACTTAACCCCCCTCTTCACCAGTGCTGTTTTCTGCACATTGTTTGGCTCCATCCATCACGCGGCCAGGGCTTTTTAATATATCTTATTGAAATGGCTTTCTGCTGTCTCCTATCAACATCTTCGATATTAGCCTCTACTGCCAGTATACTCATTGCAGAATGGATCTTCGATACTCACACAAATGTACTGCTGAAACTACTACCCCAGTTAAGGAACCTATAGAGCAAAAGTACTGAAAAAAGTTAATGGCATTGTATAGTGGTAATACATTCATTTGATACAATACATCAAAAGAGGCATTTAAGTGCACAATATATAAAACAGCCAGGCTAATATTATACATATAGTGTTGTGGTCCCTGATCCTATGAAAACTTTGCTCAAAATTTCCACTCATAAAGGGAATTTAGCTTCTGGTAAAAGCCAAACACTATACAGGGAATGTCACACTCCTGCGATAGTCAGGACTATCTCCTAAACTATACTATACTCCTAAATTCTGCCAGTTCATTGTTTTTTAAAATCATTTTATGGTCTTAAAAAAATCAACTTGTAGAATCTATCAGAACACAAAATAAACATTGTTGGACTAATACTCCTTATGTATTGTATGTTAAGAGAAGGTCTCTTAACGTACATTGTTGCATCCATTCGCTTGTTTGAACAGAATGTTGGAACAAAAAGGGTCTGACTGATTTGGGGAGATAGACAAATTGACCTCTTTTTAGCATGTTCCAAATCCTCTTGTCTTTCTTGTCTCTGGTTGTTTTGGTAAACTACCATGCTGTGAAAGCTTCCAGCTCACTTACCACCAGAAAATAAATGCACTGCACTGTTGTTTCTCTTATAAAGGGAATACGGTTTGCAGAACATGCCTGGAGTGGTCCAAACTTTACCTCCGAGGTTAGCCCTGCAGCATCCTGAACTTGAAATTGGTTTTGCGCCGATGGAAAGAAGCAGAGAGATGAGGGGTAGAGGCATGGAAGTGAAAAAGGTGCCACGAAATTGCACTGAAATGAAAGGGTTTGGATGAAAAAAAGATAGGAATGGAGGCAGGACGTGAAGAATGTGAATGAATTTGTGGAAAGAGGCTTTTGGAAAGAGAGGAGTGGAGCTGGTGTGAAAGTCCCTAAAGTAAGTCAGATGAGGACATGTGGGAAGACGGGGGCCATTTTAGATTCAGACAGACGGCGGTATAGGGCAGAAAGCATCTGTCTGGTTTAATTGCAAACAAAGAAAATTGGACTTTGTGATTCTCAATGGGTGCTTAAGGTCACAGTAAATGTAGGATTATGATCATGGGTTATCCAGCAGAGGTACAGTACAAGGGCGTGGTCTTAATGATGCTCTTAAACCTGGAGAAATTATAGAGCTCATGAAAGAAAGGGCATTTGATATGACACGTTGTCCTGAAATCAAATGTGTTTATCAGATGTTGGTGAAGTAATAAGGCAAGGCTTTGCAGTTTCAAATTCTTAAACACCTTTTCAGATTTTTACACAAATCTATTGTGTGGAAAATAGTGCATCAAATGAGCAACAAAATATATGATAGATAGAAATTCAAGAGTACAGCAGCAGAAAAACACACAACAATACCAACAATGAAATACATAATTCTAAAAGTTACTAACAATAATGACAATTTCCAAAGAACCTGGTGCTTTCCTGATACAGTTGTAATAACAGTGTCCTGTGAGGCTTTTCATATACCCAAAAAATAATCTTAAAAAACAATCAACTTGCAGGATTTAGGAGTAAGCAAAGATAGTCCATATAGGAGTGTGACATCCCCTTTGCATTGCGTTTGGTTTTTACTGGAAGAAGCTATAAATTCCCATTCCATGAGTGGAAATTTGGTGCAAAATTCTCTCATAGCAACCAAAGAGCCAATAAAGAGTAGTTAGTTCCCACTTACCGTATTCGCTAGCCGAATCTCTAGCAAGCCGGTTTCATCCAACAACATCTGCCATAGATATGAATATAATGAGAGAGTGAACTGATGGTGATGGTCAGAGGCTTCGGGAGGTCTTTGGTGTCTTGCTTCTGTCGTCTCTGAATCACAGACAAAATTGTGAAGCGCTTTGAGTGACTTCGGTCTGTGAAATAGTGCTAGTTTGATGCATATGATTATTTACAGATGTGACTTTAATTTGGATGAACACTGATCTATATTACTCTTTATCCTTTATGCTTTCTTGCACCTACTTTACAATGTAGTCAAGATGTCATTAATGAGTTGGGTTTTCCTTGAACTATTCACCTCCTGATGTGATTTCCCAATTGAAATTAGCAAAAGAAATAACCTTCACCTCATAAAAAGACCATATGATGAATATAATTCCCAATATTAGTTACACTTTTGCTCCTGCTTGTATAAACTCTTCTATCATTGCAGTTTTGTAATGAAATATGTCATTACGTCGCCATGCTGAGCTCAGAGAGGCCGAGGGTCAGACTGATAGTGGTCTACGAATTAATAAACTCCTCAGATCTCCTCTTGTGTTGCTGTTAATATCTCCAGGATTATTTGATTATGGTGCATTCAGTGTACGGTGAATTATGATTAATATCATTATTAGTTGTTGATGCTGTGAAACGTGTAACAGACACGTAACTGTTTTGAGGTCATTTGTTCTATTTTTTATACTCATCAAAAGCTATTTGCCCTATAAGGATTAGTGCTTTCTGCAAGGTTAAAAAGCCTACATCCATTTAAGATTAAGATTTAAGAGTGAGGTCACACTTATTGTTCTATATCAATGTCAACTTGATTTATATAACACAAACAAAAAGCTGATAGGTAGAATTATTATCTAAGAAAACTAAAACAGTTTTACTTCAAGTTAAAAAGCCAAGCCATGAAAATGTGCCTTAAGTTGTTTAAAAAGTTTCTTATGATGGAGCAGCTCTAATGTCAAGGTAAACTGCAGTTTGGGGGCAGCAACAACAAAGGCAAATATTCAGGATTTTTTTAAACATTTAAAAAACAAGAATCAGCAACACTTCAGCAGAAAAGCAATTGCTCGCATGACGTCACAGCTCTGGTTCAAAAGAAGTTTAGTAACTATTTATGTATTTTATGTTTATTTGATGGGGATAGAACAAAAAGCATTGTTACAGGTAACCTATGCCATGTTCATAGATACAGCTAACAGCTCATTGGCAGACCTGGCCCCTATAGTGGACCAGTGCCCCAAGTGCATTAGAGTTTACATTCCAAATATGAATGCACCCTTATTTTAACAGTATTTCTTTGTTATCCCCTGATTTGCATCAATTCTGCAGCCCATTGGTGTCATACTGTATTTCAATATTTCAAGAAATTTTCCACACCTCTCCAGATATAACTACAGATTTTGACTATTCCAAATATTTCTATCAGTCAGCAACAGGAAAAGAAATGGATTATAATGAATGTACAGTATCTTGCTATCATATTGTTATTGTCTTTGTGTAAATCTAAACAGGGGTAAATGCATGGGGATTAGTTACAGTGTACAAAAACATTGACTTTTGGAGAGTTAGTGTCTGTGCAGGTTGACACAGTGTAACAGAAGAACCCACTGTAGAAAATACATTGGTTCTGGGTCAAATAAATATCTTTTCTCTTCCCTTCTTGTTTGGTGGATCGGCTTGTCTGATTGGTCCTCGCTGGTCCCTGGTGAGATGAACAGTCACACATGCGCAAAATGGTGTAATGAAGGCACATGTTATCACTGTCTTGGCATAAGGCGTGCTGTGTTTCTGTTCACCGACCCCCAGAGAGTGAATCAGCAGGTCTGCATCAGGGTCTGCATGCATGTTAGGGCTGCCCGCTAGCAAAAGTAAGTAAAAAAAATATCTATCAATGATTAAATGCCTCGAGCTGGATTTCAGAGCTTGCAGACTATAGACGGAAGGAGGCAAGGAAGCAAGGAGAGGTCTAAGGGAATAGGAGAGGACTGAGCTAATGAGCAAGAATAAAAGAAATAGTGGACAGAACAAAGGGGAGTTAGGAGATGGACCCCTGAATCTTGGTGTGAGGGAATATAATTGGGTTTCTATGCTATTTTTCCTTCTTACCAAAAACATATCATAATGAGGCGCAACAATGCAGTTCAGTCAAAGAACCTCAACCTTAACCCAACTTTGCAAAGGTTTTTTAGCCACACAGTTTGCCGAACAGTTCTATAGGCAATACTGTATTAGTTTACACTCAAATAGTTGGTTTACAATACAATTTCTCTATTGGACAAAATACAGTACGTTGCAACACAGAATGGGATGAAGAAAGATACAGTTAAAAATGTAGATTAAGGGGACTTTAGACATAAGAATAACATGATTGCGTTGTGTGTCGCTTTATTAGTTCCTAACAGTAAATAATATTATGCTCTCATTCACTTTTGTATGATTGTATCTTGTGTAAAGGTTACACTTGCAAAAACAGATTTTACGTCATATACACAAATCACAGACTGTAAATTTGAGGAGCGGTGGTGCACTATAGCAACAATTCAACTGGTTTGCCGACCCCCACCCTGATTATACATCTCATATACATACAAAAATGTAGATTAAGGGGACTTTAGACATAAGAATAACATGATTGCGTTGTGTGTCGCTTTATTAGTTCCTAACAGTAAATAATATTATGCTCTCATTCACTTTTGTATGATTGTATCTTTGTGTAAAGGTTACACTTGCAAAAACAGATTTTACGTCATATACACAAATCACAGACTGTAAATTTGAGGAGCGGTGGTGCACTATAGCAACAATTCAACTGGTTTGCCGACCCCCACCCTGATTATACATCTCCCCATCCCACAGTTACCTGACCCCCACCCACCACCCCCAAAGCCCTCCCCACCCCGACATTCGCTCCACGTCCAATTACCAGGAGGACTACAGCAGAACCGCATACTTCACAGCTTTCAAGTCCTGGAGAGAAATCCTCATGGGAATTATCCACCAAGACATGAATCCCCAAATGCCCCCCAAACCCAACCCCATCCTGTCTCAGACCCACTGCCAATGCATTCAGTCTCCAGCTCGTTTTTTGCCTCGGTCCACTGGGCTGTCAGTATTCTCAGATTTCTCATAATTAAATGTCTTACTTTTCAGGTTATTAGTGCTAAATTGAAGCTATGAAAAAATTACCGATACTGGTTTGAAGATAATGTGTGAGATTGTTGAGAATTAGGGACATCTAGTGGTTTGTGCAATTTGCAGTTGTTCTTATTCTGAGTGTGCAGCAGATGGACCACAATTCAATCACTGAGCTGAACACTGATTTATGTGTGAGGTTTTAGGTGGTGGCCGCTCAGACCAGAGAGAGGTATTTTAGGTTTGAACAAACTGAATGTTCCCCTTTAAACTGGCAACGCAAATAAGACAAGGCAAGTTTATATGTAAGAAAACGGTTCACGCAAGGCAATTTGCAAACCGCTTTATAAAACAAGAAAAAGACATTTTAACTTTAACACTAAGCAATGTTCCCTCCTCAAAATCAGGGATGGAGTTGTTTTTTGATCCATCCACGCTAGCATTGCACAAACATGTGACTCCGCCCCTTCAGTCTAAAAGCTTCCGCCTCAGTCCTGTAATAAAATAATGTAGTTGTATCCCTATGACATCATGCTCAGAGCGGTTTTAAAACAAAAGAATAACCCCTAGAGGCATGATTTGGCAATTTTTCAGGTGAAATTATGTTCTTTACAATTACGTGGCTGCGCTTTCAGCACTGAAGAATCACTTCAACAACATGACCATTGTTTTCAATGTAATTTTCAGTTAATGTTCTTGGGTCATTAAACTTTATGGGAATATATATCAGATATTTCTTTGTGGGAAAGTACAGATGAAAAGTAACATGACCTATAATTTGAATTCATTTATTTTTATTCATTCTTACGTATAGTCCCTTCAGATGAACCATTTCTTTTTCAAGGCGGTCTTAAGACAGCAAGACAAAACAGAAACGTTTATTGTTAATGTTATTGCACAAAAAAAGAACAAAAAACCAAAATGCCGGACGTTCAGCACTGCACTTCCAGACCCACCGCCCTCAGTTCCGCACATCTGCCGTTATCAGTGGGCTTCAGAGCTAAATCACAGTTCTTGTACTGTAGGTTGATAACCCAGACCCATGGATATAATAATAGAATTGTTTTCAACACTTAAGCATTAGATCTTTTACATTAGAAACAATCGCAAAATACATTTAATCTCATAAACAGAGCTGCTTTAAATTGCGTCAGAGAGGACAGCGACCGCAGTTCCATGGGCAGATAATTATTCCATGAGCTATAAGGTAATGAATGCTTGAATCTAGCATTTTTCGTCTTGAAATGATTTCATTTTGACAATTGTCTAAAAACAATTTGCCAATAAGACAAACCAATTAGTTTTCTAGTTCAAGTGCCAATGGTTCAACATGTTTTTTTTATCATTTCATTACCTAAGTTTGAACTATTTGATTCTTTTGATCTGCGTTGGCAATTCGAGATGACTACTAATTGTGATTTAGGACTAAATAAACTTTATTTGAATCGCACTATATGTCTCATTCCATGGGAGACATTTCTTGATTTTCCTTATTTCTTAAAAGCCAGACATTTTTGCTTGTTGTGGAGGCAAATTAAGATACATTTACAATATTTTTTAAATGTTTCCCCCACTTTTTCCAGTGGAACGTTAATAAATCAAAGAAATTGTGCATTAATTAATGAAAGAAATGATGAAAATAAAGCGACGCTTGAAGTCCTGAGGTTTGATAAAATACCTTTTTGAATAAGTGGTGAATATAATGAACTTGCCTGGTTTAAGGCGGTATATAAATAAAAACTTACTTACTTACTTACTTTAAAGGGCCTTGAAAACTACTGCTGCTGTGGAACTCATTTGAACATCTATAGATATTATGTCTGCATGTAAATATCTGTTTGTATGTGAGGATTTGTAATTATTTTAGCTGCAACCATTTTTTTTATTGTTAAAAAATTAGACATACAATACAAATGCAGACATGACATAGCTTCAACTGTTAAATACAAACTTGTAATTATAAAAATCCAGTTTGTTCATAGCCGACAAACTTTCCTACCTGCGTGGAGACTTGTTTGGCTCTTTCTTCACAAAAACACTGCTCTACCTTCCTCTCTCCTCTTTCCTAACTTTTTTTTTTTCTGTTGTGTAAATGTGCTCAGGGAAGGGGAACCGTTTCCCTGGCAACGCTCATCCCCAAAAATTTAAATCACGTTTCAGGCTTTTGCAAAGAAACTTTTCTCACTTTTTCTGAGAATTCTTTCAATTACTGCAGGCGGCGCACATGTCTGTCACAGATTGATGCGAGGGACAAAACCAGGGCAAAATTATAATTATGTTTGGCTCTTTATCCTTGTTTACACCGGCCACAGATTACACAGGTTAAAAGATATTGAAAGCCAGCATCCGACTCTAATGTCATTTTTCAACGACAAAATAAATTGATCCATTTTCCTTTTGTAATAATGAAGGTCTGAAGAGTATGTATGCAATAAACGATGTCTTAACTGCTGGTAAATCTGGAAGTCTATCCAATTGAAACTATTCAATTAATCCGCTGCTGAAGCTTCTGATTTCTAAAACTATTAAAACTAACTAGGTCTTTTAACTCGTTGTAGTTGATTAAGCAACGTAATCACAATGGTACAATGTGTTACTGAGATTAAATGAGCAGACTATTATCGATGATTAGGTTTTGCGTTTATAGCCAACACAACTTCCCTTTGAGTGACGTCAGTGAAAGGTTGGAACATAGATGGAAATGCTAACCCCATAGCTCAACGAAGCAGCCGGAACAAAGTTTTGCTCCAACTCGCTCTGGTCCCTATTGACTTACGTTGGAAAGTAAACTACATTTTGGACAATATTGGTGGTTAGCAATCTTTGTGGTCTTGGTGTTTTTATTTTGATATTGACTTTGTAAATCCAGATATAAGCTATTGATCAGAGACACGTATCCCTCCAGTGTGTCCTGGGCCTTTTCCGGCAGAGAATCAGCTCTGGGTCTATAATAATAAAAATAAAAATAATGCTGTGCACTTGTAAATCACTTTACAGGCTTCTCGACGTTGCTCTGTAGTAAGCGCTGTATCTGTAAGTCACTTTGCATCCACTCTGGTGACGGAAGCAAGGCCGCTTGGGCGTAAACCGGAGCGCCTGTAGAAACTGACCCAGACATGGGGAGAATCAAGCTAACTCCATAATACTTTCTTGCTGTGAGGCTTGTTTGCTATGCCGATCCTGTCAATCTATTCATGGACTTCTTCAGGATGAGATATGTAACTCTACAATAACACACCGTCCTACTTTGGTATTTTGGTCACAAATATAATACTACGGAAAACGTCATACCAGCACAACCCTATGTCCTCTTTTTCTGCGTATATTTCTGTTGTAGTAGTTGTTTTGGATCAACATGAGATAATTACATGGAAAAAGACATGAGACTTATATTTAGATGAATTGTTGATTTTCTGTCTGAAGTATAGCTAGATGGAAAACATAAAAACGTACAGTAAGAAGTCATGGTTATCTTTTGGATTTGAAAAGGTCTGAAAAACACGGTCGTTGGAGGAGTGGGTGGAGGCAGCGCAGGCAAAGTAGGTGTCTTCAAGAGAGAAAGGAGAAGTATTGTAGTTGCATATAGGAGTGTAAAAAAACACACACTCTGCACTATGCTTGCCTAATGAGCACAGCCTCTGGAGAAGTCCCACACAAAACATGAACAACGCACTCAGAAAAATGAACCTATACCTCCGCTGCAGCAGGATATAGGCCCCATCCATAGATTTACAACTGGGGTTTTTGCATAATAACTTTAGCTGTCCACTACCATCCCCCACTAATCTCTGAATCCTACTTTGATGAATGAAAGGGCAAGTCTCTAATCCTATCTACACATGGATCCACTCTATATGCATCGACAAAATCATAGTAAATTGCAAGAGAAAGAAATCATGTGTAAGATATCCATTTTATGCATTATAGTGTAAGTCCTGTGCAAGCCAGGATGGAGAAATTAAACGGCAAGCGTATTTAATGTTGCCAAGTGGTGTCAGCATGCATTATATGGCATAACTCCTTGCTGATTGGCTTACAGTACATGTCAAAATGAAATGTAGTGATTCATCATACAAGGGAGATGTAAAGTCTATGCTCTTTCACAGGCGTTCATACATTGGGATTTAGAATAACGTGTAAAAAACATAGCTACTGGGAATCCTTCTAGTTCCCACATAATACTGTTTTTGTCTTACACTGGTTCTGATTGAGCTCTAAATGATATTGTTCCAGAAAAGTCAAATAGATAGATAGATAGATGCTTTATTGATCCCCTTTAGGAGAAGTCCAGGAAATACTGAATACACTAATATAAAACTGAATACTGTAATCTTCGGAAATATTATTTGTGTTGCCATGTGTACTGGGTGGCAAATTCTGGCAACCCCCTCGAACCAGAAATGGATTAAGGGGTAGAAAATGGATGGATGGACCGTTTGTGTTGTTTATTTGTGATTGTATGTTTAATGTATGGTTTAATAGTGTTGAAAGGAATATATACGGTTTCAATACTACATATAGAGAAGAGTAGATTGAGATTATCTTTGACCCTAAATCATCTTCATCCACAACACGACTGAAGAAAAGTAGTGCTGATGAATCACTACAATATTAAACTATTATACGCTTCTCGTCTATGCACAGATGAAGTTCCGTTTTCCTCTCTCCTTTTCTTGCCTCTCTTTAACTTGATGAATGAGGTTGTCCAGCCTGTGTCCAGCCTCACAGCGCACACATATCCCACTTTACATCAAGGATACGCAAATGTCTCGAAAACCGGAGCGAGCGCAGACTGGAGCCCAAAGTCAAGGTGCACAAGGACACGCCCTCTTCAGACGTCTCCCGGGACAACAGCAGAGGAGGGACCAAAGAGCTGGTGGTGCTGTGCACGGGAGGCTATTGTTATTACAGTGAGACAGTATTATATTAGAAAAAAACATGTGTAGGTTGGACTGATTAATGACCCAGAAAATAATTAATAACTTTGTCTTGTCTTGGGTAGGAGAATATGGTAGCTTATAGATGGATAGTCAGTTAATTAATATCATGAGAAGACATTCAAGGGGCAATCAGTGGCCAATACAGACAACAAAAACAATAGACCCAAAACATTATAAATTGTAAAATATAATAGGTGTTTCCAGGAGTAAACCCGCCCATTTACCGTGGCCATTGTTGAATCTTATGCAGTTAGGGCTCGAATGGTTTCGTTATGAGCTTCAATAGTTCCCATTTTATTATTAGTAAAAAGTAAGAAAGTCTATTCAAAATCCTCTTCAGGTAGTAGTGCAGTATTACCAATGTGATGCACGTTATACATGATTACTCTCTGCAGCAATATTGGTGTATTATAATATGTATGTGTACAATAGATGTATTTGTATTCTTTATTTTATACAATATAGGTATTTTGTCTTATGAACTTAAACAAAATAATGCTGGTTTGCTCAGTATACACATCATGTTATTGAAATCAGGAATGCACTTTTAAATATATAAATCTATACTTAATTAATCCATCAATCTTAAAAATACATTATGAATTGTTGTTACTTACGCGTCATTTTTGGGAGAATGCATGATCATTGCAAATAGATATATCTTCCAATGATTCACCCTCAATGTTCTTACTCATTCATCAAAACTTAAAAAGAACATATGTAGAACTAAACATATGACAAATACTATCTCCATTAGACCAACTGCAAATACTCCATCACCAAAAATCACCAACAATGCATGGCCAGAGGTGTGGTGGCATAAAGCCGTGTTTAAATGCAGCAGCAGCAGTCACATGTGAAGCCCCAGTCACAGATGAAGAGTCACTGCCTCCTCTTCCTCACGGCCCCCTCCCCTCATATATCCTCATTACTGCTCTGTCTCTCCTTCGATCTCCTCTCTGCGCCTCATTGTGCTTTACACCTCCACTTCCTGTTCCATATTTGGTCATTTTATGAGTTTTTGCTCCTTATGTCGAGTGAAGACTTCTTGCCATAGATGTGTTATTAAGGATGGACAGACCCAGACTGTGGCCGCTTGGATTTACAAGTAGTAGAATTTTAATCTCATGCTGCATTTTCAGTGAATGCTCTGAATGCTCAAGTTAAACATTTCTAACATTAAGTCCTAGAAAGACTTGAATTAGGTGTTAGTATATTTTTGGTATTTCTGGTACTTTTAATTATATAATTGATAAATTTACTTTAGATTTAAAAATCTTGTCTGTTAGAATCAAGACCATCAGGAGGCCTTTGCTCTCATACATGTTTTTTTGAGTTAGTTCTTTGATGTTTCAAACCCTCTTCATTCTCCTCATTCAGCCGCAGATGTATTTATGGGACATAAGCTTTTGTACTACAATCATTCACGCTTGTAATTGTGTAATCCAGGATTGTACCAATCCCAAGAAAGAACATGTTTTATTTATTACTTAGAAAAGTATAATGAGAACAGCTTTATAGGAAGGATGAACAATTACAAAGTTGTCTTTGATGTACATGAATGTTTTTTCGCACCTGGACCATGTAAAGATTCCAGCTCATTAGTCCAACTTCAGCATTAGTTGTTAGAGTTGGCTGTCCCAACTTTATTGTTTTTGTAAAATGTCTCAGTCCTGTAATGTATTTGTATTACTATGACATCACTCTCTGAGTAGTTATCTGCCTTTTAAAACAAGGTATTGCATATAAATTAGTTTGGGGAATTTCTCTGGTAAATCTTTTTTGGTGTGTTTGCAGTCTGTAATTTTAGAATTTGAGTACTGGTCACACTTGTTTGACCATATATTTTCAACTTCATATATTATTAGTAAATTACCTCTTTATCATTTTTAATGGCCAAGAATACCTCATAATATTTTTTTAACTACAGTAAGTCCTTGAACCTCATTTGGTGTTTATATATCATCATAAACAACATATTGAAGTTAAATTAACATGGGACAGTCAGAAAGTACATAAATCAAGAGAATGGTCCTTTCATCATTCACAGGTCATAACGTTTATTAAAAAATGAAAAAGCACATTCTTACTTCCCCCCAAGTTTCATCAAAACACATTTCTTCACATTTCGAGGCTCGGCACATCCGCTGTCGGCCGTTACGCTGCAGGTTTGATGGTGGTGTTCTTTCCTGTTGGGGCTGATCTATTGAATTCCCTGCATGGCTCCTTCTCAGTTCTCCTGTCTCTCCTCGTCGCGTCTTGCTTTAGTCATTCCCCTCCACCGCCTCTTCATTCGCACATAACTTTCACTCATGTCCAGTCAGCAGGTTGCGTAACTCCCATTGCATTGTGGGATACATAGATTTACCGATTGTGTGTCTGTCCCAGTCCGGGGATGACATTGCAAACTGAAAAGGACATAGGCAGTTTTGGTGCATAATAAAAGTTGATGTATGGCCTGCATGGTAATCGACTGTCCGTAACAAAACAGGCCACGCTGCAGTCCTTGGAGAACGCGTCTATAAATCATGCATGCAAAGAAATCACATATTTAGAAAGAAGGCACTTCGACACTGAACCAACGGCATGGCAGGAAAGAGTTAAAATGCAAATTATTAATCCCATTCAGTTCCAGAGAGGACTGGCTGCGAATGTGGCTGTGAAATCCGGTTTGAGTCGAGCCAAAAATCACAACTGCAGAGTGGAGATGTCAAGAATGACCAGCTGGCTTCAATGAAATGAAAATAAAAATGTTCACAGTAAGTCCCAGTCACCTAAGTGGGCAAATCACCACGGGAAGAAGATTCTAGGTGTAATTTAGAGCTAAAAAACCTAAGAATGTATTAGCTTGAGAAATGCAAGTGATACATTGGAGTTGAAAAGTTTATTTGTCAAAAAGACGAGGCCAAGATTCATATTAAGTTCATTTGCATTTTTCAGTTTAAAACCACATTGGAATATGAATACCCAGTGTGCACCAGGGACAACCATTAAAAAACGTTATGAGGCAAATACAAGAAAAATACAAAGGAAAACACTGTGAAACAAAGAGATTTTAAGACGAGCACAAACTGAAACAAGAACAAACTGGATCAACCGGTACAGTTCTTTGTTCAGATGGAAGGAGCTGGAACATGGATTTTCAGGATGGTCAGAAGAGTGGACCAGAGAGCATGGTTTAAAGCTGAGGTACATAGCTTTCAAACAATAGAAAAATGTCATAAAATCTATCTTCTATCGATCTATCTAACTTCTCCGCTCTAAACAGTATGTATTTTTGCCCTCCGTCACATCACAGAAGAGTGGAGCTACGAACAGAAAACAGGGCAAGACTACTGGGGTCTGATTTGTTCACAAATTGTTACTTTTACTCAGATAAATCACTCATGTATTCTTAATGAGAAAAGGTAAGGAACCCTTTAAGACATTGTGAAGTTTTCATAAATATTTGTTGTATTTTAGTCTCAAAGCGAATATCATGATGCTTCTGTATTTTAGCTTTTGAATCTGACTCCCATCCATCCATCCATCCATTTTCTTCCCCTTAATCCATTTCTGGGTCGGGGGGGTGGCAGTCAGAGCTGCACCCAGTACACTTAAACTGTAAAAACGAAAAAGTTTGTTCAACTCAAAATTTCAAGGTAACTGCTGCACGCGACTTTTGAGTTGAAGCATCAACTTAATTCTTTACGTTTTGAAGAACTACAATTATTAAGTTGTGTCAGCTAAGTGTTTCTAGTTCTGCCAACTACGTTTTTGTAATTCAAGTTACTGGGACTTTCAAGTCTGTAAAAACAGAATACAGGCTGCTGCAATAACTCACTATTTTGAGTTTAAATTACCCCCCACATTAAATCATCCTATTTCATCCTCATGTGTATTTATATAGCGCTTTTACAGACCAAGGTCACTTGGGTAGGGGAAACCGGAGCACCTGGAGGACACCTATGCAGGCTCAGAGAACATGCAAATTCCACTCAGACAGGCCCTGTTCTGACCAGGATTCAAACCCAGGACCTTCTTGCCAAGAAGCACGAGTGCTATCCACTTAGCCACCGTGCCACACGCTGGAGTGTGGGAAAACTAAGGTTTCTTAAGGAAACTTGTTCCCTCAATAAAGATTAGTTTTATAAATACCATAAACATAACAATATAATTAAACACTGTCTTTATTTACACTCATTAGCTCACTAGACTAACTTACACATTGTTTGTACTAATCCATTTTAGTTTTATAAATGCCATGAACTTAAGAATATAAGCTCATTCGACAGTCATATAGTAGTCATAAAGTCCTGAACGCTACAACTCTCAGATTGAGAAGCGATAATGTAACGTATTTAGAGCTTAGTTTCTGTCAAGAACTGCATTCAGGCACAGTGACCTTTGATTACAATTAGAACATCCTAAAAGGTTGACCCAGGGCCTATATAGGGATACTTTGGCTTGGCCCTGTCGATTACGGTTGGTAAAAATATATACACAGATTTATTTGGTCAAATTAGTTGCAGCCGGTTGCCATGACAAATATTTAAATGAGCATGCGCAGATGAGTTGACCTCACTCTAACTCGGTGCACTGTAAAAACGACAACTCAAATTTGTTCACCTTACTAAGATTTTTGCATTCACTGACAATAAAATTGCCAGTTGGAACTTGAACTGTCTGTTTAGAGCCACTTGAACTCACTTTCAGAAGTTGATTTTACTTTAACTACAACCTCAAAGTAAAATGAACTTAATTTATCAAATGAGATGAACTTTTCATCAGTAACTTCTGAAAGTGAGTTCAAGTGGCTCACAACAGACAGATCAAGTTCCAACTTGCAATTTTATTGTCAGTGAATGCAAAAATCTTAGTGAGGTGAACAATTTTGAGTTGTCGTTTTTACTGTGTAGCTCCAGCCCCTCACTGATCCTGCTGTGGGTGCTGAGATCTGTCAGTGGGGGCTTCAGGCAAAG